ACTTGCTCGATTGTTATTCTTGGTGTGACTCGAGAACTGACCTCGAGGCGGGGCATGGGCATGGATTATCTCCCTGGGGCACGCACCTCCCTGCCCCAGCTCTCTCTCTCTCTCTCACATAATCTATCAAGGGTCTAACATGAGGTCATTGTGCCTACCAGAAGTGTATATGTCCAAGGCTGGCCACCTGTCTGGACCATTCAAATGTATAAACACGTAATTAGTCTATTAAAATTATATATAATGCTACAATTATAAATTAATTTGTTCATGGTCATTCGTTTATCAGTATTTTAATATGAGGTATATATACGCATGTATGTATACGTTGACGTACACATATATGATTATGTGTATGGAATGATTATGATTATGTGTAATCATATATGATTATATCTAATGGAATGCATTAGTAAGTGATGTGGTGGAGGCTGACTCCATACACAGGTTCAAGTGTAGATATGATAGAGCCCAATAGGCTCAGAAACCTGTACACCTGTTGATTGACGGTTGAGAGGTGGAACTAAAGAGCCAGAGCTCAACCCCAGCAAGCACAATTAGGCGAGTATATGAACGAATGCACATGTACACTTTCAAATGAATTAAGATACCTTGAGATACACAATGACTTAGTTTAAATAGTTTAAACACATTATGGTACTGATTTTGACATGCTGATGTCTGGAAGGGAGAGGGGGTGTGGGGGGTTATTGTCTGAGGTGGAGGACCAGAGGAGGGGGTCAGTGGAAGGATGGTGGCTGGAGGGATGCCATTGTTCAAAAAAAATATGAAAACAATTATTGATGGCAGGAATTCAGTGGGTGTGTACTTCACCCGCACCATCACCATACTGTGCCCTGCTACAACCCCCCCCCCCCACTCCACCCATGCTGTGCGGGGCGTATTACACATGGGATAACCGACTGTCTGTCCATTCCTGTCTGCTCGTTATGCTGCCCTTCCTTTTGAAAATTGTCTGCTTTATCGACTTCCTTCAAGACCACACGTTAGCCTCTTATCACGCCCTCTTACCACTCTCAGGGAGCCGGCTCTTCTATACAATAGTTACCAATCAGTCCCCAAGGTGAAAGAGTGTCCGGGCATATGACTTGTTACGTGTACTTATTTGCGATTCGTTTGGGCTGTCACGTGTGGTGATTAGTGTTGGGTAAGGCTAGGCCAGGTCAGGTCAGGCTAGGCCAGGTCAGACTAGGCTAGGTAAGGCTAGGCCAGGTCAGGTTTGGTCAGGTCTGGCTAGGCCAGGTCAGGCCAGGCCAGGCTAGGCAGGGTGAGAGAAGTAAAGCGGCAGGTACTTACGTTTCCGAGAAAGTAGCGGCGGTAGTATATTGTTGATTTAGATTCGACGACATCCTGAAGCTAGTAGGTGGCGGCCTCATCGCTCTCGAACTTCTTGTTGTTGTAGGGGATACGAGGCACACCCAATATCTCCCTTTCATTGATCACATCGCACACTAATATTTTTACTATTTCGGACACCAGATTTGTCTGTTTCGTATATGTATAATTGTTCAATATTAAAACCACAATAGAATGCTCTAAGTACTTTCGTATATTAATACATCTTCGGAAGGAATGGTTCGCTCTGAAGATGTATTAATATAAGAAAGTACTAAAGGAAATTCGTTTCAATTCTTCCTCCGTGGTCTGACACTCTTATTATATATTGTATATACTGAATTATATATACTATGCTTATATAATATATACTGAAATATTGTTACATTTAACGTATGAAACAAAGTATATATCTGTATTTTTAATAAAATATAAAACATTAATATTTATCAACGTATCTCTGCGAATTACTTAATTTATCAGTATTGTACAGCCTGTGATCTCCACCTGGCTGGCCACTGATACCTAAGTAGCTTTCATGTGTCCGGACACCGGCGATAGGATTGTATTATTTAACTTTAAAGAGAGAGATATTTCTTGAAATGTTGTCACATTAACGTCTACATCTTCCTTCCTTCTGACATAGATTTTAAGGTTAATTAGCATATATGAAAATAAATTACACAATTTATAGGCTGGTGTGAAGGGCTTCACACTCTTAGAGCAAGCCATCAAGAAACTGTACAGTATCAAATGCATATATCTTCGCTTTCACTTCAGTTATATTTATGACAAGTATTTAAAGTGTAGCTTATATTTCTGCCTTTCTGTTGACATAGAAAACTTTCGTTTATTACATTATCTAGATAAAATTAGCATTGATCTTCAAAAGGTTGTAGTTGTAACTTCCATTATAAACAACATTATTATTGCAAACAGTAGGAGTTTCAAAGTCTCATTTGTATGGATACCTTCTCATATAGGTGTTGTCCAGCATGATGACACAAACAAGGCAGCTAAAACTGAATGTGATAAGCCTGAAGTTGAGTGGGATATGGGCATTCCAATCTCTTCTGTCAAAGCCGCAATATTTTAGGAAATTAGGGAAGACAGAAGAGCAGTCACTGACACACAAAAGCCAGAAAGCAAGAGTATAAAGAGCTATGACATGTTTATGTGCCTCTGTAACCTTTTCCACTACCGCCCACAAGATGATATATGGGGTGCATAATTAATGAACTAAACTAAGTAAACATGTTTAGAATCGAGAATTATATGAACGGACAGCATAAAACTTCCACTAGTGTCACAATGACAGTGTGACATTGTAATTGCCAGAATTAGGCTAGGATATCGATATGTATTGCAGGTGGCTGCAGGTAATGAATAGCCCCCAATGGTGAATATTCCAATTGTAAACTATGTGAACAAGAGCTGGGAGATACTCACCAACACTATATCTGTGATTGCCCTGTTATAAGTGACTTCAGACCAAATGGTATAATTAAGGTACTTTGAACTCTGTAATTACTTCATACACTTAGGAATATTGGAAGATATTCTTATGCTGTACCCGGATTTTGCTAACGGAGGCTAATAGATCAGCCTTATATTTTATGTTCTCACCTGATTGTTACCTTGAGGTAGGCCCGTAAGTGGTAGTCCTCTTGAACTATTAACAGTATCAATAGATGATACTGGAGATCTGTGGAGGTGCGACTGGACCCTGCGTGACGGGAGATGTATCCCTTGTTTCTTGTGATTGATGAGGATTAAGCCACCCAAAAGGTAGCACGGGCATGAATAGCCCGTAAGTGGTGTTCTTGTTAGTCACAGTTGATTTTTTTTTATTGAGGCTGGTATTTTATCCCCTGATTCCATGTATAACTAACCATCCTGTGAGATGGGAATATTTAATGAACTTATAGCTAGTTTTTGATATACACTGTGTAATCTTTCATATAGAATAGGGTAGCAGCACATTACTGTGTATACCTAAGCTTGTTAATATTTAATAATAAAATATGCATATTTAAGAATATAATAAGAGGTGCTGTATATTTGAGGGTACAAGGGGTTGCATATTAAATAAGTCACTAAAATCTCCTATTATTCCCGAGGAATTTTCCAACTGGATTTTGAACGGATGTCTTGGCATCTACCGGCTTTGCTGGTATGAGGTTCCATGGGTTTACAAGTATATGTAGGTGAAAAAAGCCTCTCCTGTTTTCTGTCCTACAGCTGTGTGGGCTGTTGAGCTTGAAGCTGATGTCCCTTGTGTTACTTTTGACCTCCAAAAGTGGTCTGGATTAATATCCTGTAACTTGTTCAGTATATTAAAAGTTTCAACGAGATCAGCCATGACGAGTTTGGTTTGTGTTTGTATTAGTCCTGTGGCCCTCAACCGTTCGTATGAGAGTTGACTTAGTTCTGTTAAATATATAGTTCATTAAATGACCCTTGCTAGTTGACTATTCATATTGGTACAAAAACTAGCACTTGCTCAAAGAAGTTTTTGAATTGGGAAATGCAATGATGAACAATCTAAAAGTTGAATAAATTACCGAAAATACATTGGTAATTGGTAATCGTTCTGTTAATATTTAGCTCCACTGTTGAATATACTTGTAACATCAGTGTATATGTAGCATCAGTGTGTACTTGCTGCATCAATGTTAATGTGCAACGTCACTCAGTCTATCATTAATAACACTCGATGCGTAGAAATGGTAGAAATAGTCACACTAACGTATACTATTCATTGTATGGGTAACTCCTTTTATGGGTTCATAGGCCTTTTATAGTGACCATTATTCTTATGCTCTTAGGATGGGGGTATCCAACTGATCAAATCCACAAGGGCCGTGACGAGGGTTCGAACCTACGTCCGAGAGGATCCCAGATGCTGCCTTAACCCTCGTCACCGCCCTTGTGGATTTGTTCATTTGCTGCATCGCGCTATTGTGATTTCTGTGTATAGTTAATAGTATCCAACTATTTCCGAAATGATTGGGCGCGTATCTCATCACCTCATGCGCCTCTCCATCTAGTAGTAAATAGGTACCCAAGAATTAGTTAGTTTGTTGTGGGGGTTGCATCATGGGGGGGTCAGTAATTCGACCCTGGAATGGGGAAATGTCTATATAAGCCTAACATGTAATGTATGTATAAAATGGCTGCCTGTCCCCCCGACACAATGCATTATTAAGTTAAACATGAAATTAAATCAAACAAAGTAAGTACCCCCTACAAATTTAAGATTAAAGAAAACGTACACCTCAGATCTTTTACAGAAAACGAGTTTGCCATAATTTTTTTGTTATAAACTTTGTTAATTTACACTCTTAATTTATAATGAAATACAGTTATACTTAAAATTAAAAAAACGATAGAATGTTGTATTTGGTTTGTGAATTAGATTTTGAAATTAACAACTTCAAACATTCAAGCTGGGGATCATTATTGGTTCACTAGAGACTCGTTCGTATTTAGGGAAGTGAAGGAGTGGCTGTTGGCCATTGTTAATTGACACTTCAGACTCACAATAAACCTCACCAATGGGGTGAGTTTTAGGGTTGATGTGAACCAATCAGCGGCCGGGTTTGGTTGGCTGCTGGTTATAAAAGTGACGATGAGAAAAATAACATTTCAGTGTGTTTTACCTCACTTTGGTGTCCAGTTCCAGGTTGGTCTCTTGAAGTTTGTATGTAGAGGATCCCCCTCCCCTCCCTTTTCCCTATTTTATGGGGGGGAACTTACCATTATTTCAGATTTGCCTTGACTCGAATTTTGGGTTATGTGCGCATAATGCTGCGTGTGGCATTATAGCCGACCCAAACTGGCGTATGACGCTCCTCTACCCCACTTGTATCATGTGAGAGGCTAGCCCTTAACGTCTGGCTTCAACCTTAAAAATTCGGTTAAATATTTAAGTGTACAGTGGAGTTACTAGTTGTTAAAACTACAAATTCAAAACTATAAATTTTAATCGTATTTTAATAACATGACTACTTAAATTCAGCAGGCTAGAGATGTAATCCTAGTACTAATAGGTAGTGAAATATTCTACAAACCATGAACTACGTTCTGTTACCATTTAAGATGTCCATCTATGGTGTTAGTCTGTGTGTTTTACAATTAACGCTAATTATGTAATTTCCTGTTATATATATATATATATATAATATATATATATATATATATATATATATATTAACTATAAAAATTGCCTTAGAGTAGCGTTTCAATACATTGTATCGATCATGATTTCAGTGGTTATGTAAAGTCCTAATGTAACAAGTAGACTAATTCGCTCTGGCCACTACACCTGAAATAGTTAATTGCACCATTACAAACCGGTAGTTGTCAGCGCCCAGGGGTCTCCACAAGGCAGCCTGGCGCTTGACAAACGCGCCTTTAGTAAAATTCAGATGCTAGTCTCCGGACACTTCCACCACAGTGCATTGCTTTAACCGTTCAAAGTTGTAGTTTGGTAATACACAGTATCACCATTCACGGTGACTGTTTATTCCTGTTACGAGGAAAATGTTAACTGTACATTTAACAGGCTAAGTTTTTACTCTAGTGTAAAAAAAAAAGTAACAAATTTCTTAGCGGGTATCATAAGATTAACTTTGAAACAAATATCCTGCTTAACTTTATCGTGTAATTACATAAATGGTAAATTTCTTGAATGTTTACCTTGGCTTGTCTTGGTAACCTACTATTGCACCAGGGTTAAGTTTATATTCACTCTTTAGTCTTAAATTGGTATTACTTTTCAAATTTCAGAATGCTTCTGCTTAAAATACTGGTGTGGGTGTGTAGTCCCCCCCCCCACTACATGGGGCGGGGGGAAGACTACATTTTTTAATTAATAAATTAATTTTAAACTGTTTCAGATACATGAACCTAGGGGCTGGTAAGACCTATCACTTCTCATGGCGAGTGACTCCGAATACTTAAAACTGGGATAAAACAAACTCTTACTGCTTGTCTTGGTAGAGGCTTCCAGCTAGTTAGTATCAAAGACAAGAATGACTTTATAGTTATCGCCAGAAGTGAGTTTACTTGTTACCGTTTCAACAATTTTATAATGTTAAATGTGCATTAAACTTTAAATGTAGTCATTCTGCTGGATTAAGATGTTCTAAATTGGCCAAGAATTTTTCTGAAACTACGTAATATTTTAGGTGGATTCCAGTTGATGTGCACAAGCGGCAACGAGGCACGACCTGGAGGTGGTCAACCAGGGAAACTAACCTACACAAACTGGTCTCACAGGAAGGTCCGTATGGCTTAGTTTACTTTAATTATACAGCTCAAATTGTCATAACATACGGGGTGTTCGGTAGATTTTGTAAGTGCATGTTCCTTATAAGGGCTTCTACGGTTGTAAAATGTCTGAAAGTTAATGTTAACTTGAGAGATTTATCAAATCTTAAAAGGAATATAATGGTTCTGATATTAACTCTCCCCCTCCCGTCCCCAGGCTCTAGCGACCACAGCCAGACATCAGGGAAGGCGACGAGGACTCTCCCGGGGTACTGCATAACATCTATAACAACGGCATAGTGGCAAGATATTGCATGTCATAACGTAAAATCTGTGAGACCAGCCTTTAAATTTTGTTCTCCAGAAAATGGCCTAGTTTACTGAATGGTGATTTTGTAAAATATAAATTGGCGCATAATTTTCTAGTGCCTTAGCCAGGAGGACTCTTAAGGCTTTGTCTATACAACTTAGCACGAAGGACTTGAAGTGTCGTTAGGGTAATAGATGCTTTGTATTTTTCCTAAAACTAAAAAATAAATCTTGGTTAAGGAAACTGTTAATAGTTTGACTTGTCACAATGACATGACATGGTGGGGAAAGAAAATTTTGCATGAAATTCTAGAAAGACATTATTAACAAAAGCATGTATCATGAGGTTTCTAATGAGATTATTAAAATTTAGACCAAAGATGGTGTTGCACGCATGTTCAGTGTCGAGCTAGTTCCATCTAAATGTTTCACGTGAACTAAGATGTTTTGCATTGGTAATGGGTATCATTTTTATTTGGTTGACGGTGATTTTTTACTTATTGAATACCAAAGATGCAGGAGCCGGCTACACATGGCCTGGCAACACGAGTAACTTCAGTTTCACTCGCTTTAGTTTGTCGCCACCCACTAAAGGGCGGTGACCCGCATGTTATTCGAACCCCAGTTGGAAACAGACCCAACTATAGGATGGGTTAACCAAAGTATCGCGCTTCCAAAAAGGTCGCCCAAGTTGGAAAAGACGAACGCTGAAAGAATATTGTTGAAAACATCTTTAACTGATTAAACAAAAATTATTTTAGTCGGCAGAAACGCGATCTATATGTAAAACCTCTACCAGACAAATATTTAAAGTAAAACCGAAGATATTTGTAGTTGTATAAAAGTGGCAGTTTTCATCGCTCGTCAAACTCGAAAACCGCAGCATTTCTCAGAACCATGCCTATTTCATGCAGATTCCTTAATAAACGTAAGAGTTTTATGTCGCAAGAAAGATATATAAGCTTAGTACTAAATACCTTACCATGGGCATACTTAAACTTAAAGCGAAGATACGTGTACTCTTTTTATAATAGCCGAGCTCCGACTCCGGACAGATCGATCGACGGAGCAACTCTCTCTCAGAACAATGCTTATTTCACGTAAATTTGTAAATAATCGTAAATTTTTTATATGCCTCAAAGATAGGAATACAAGGCTCATTTTAAACACTTTATCATAGACATAATTAAAGTTCTAATGAAGATTCGTGTATTTTAATAATCGCCGAGCTCCGACCCCCGCATAGACTGAGCGACAGCAACTCTCTCAGAAGAATGTTTATTTTACGTAAATTCGTTAATAAACACAAATGTTTTACACGTCTTAAGAAGGATAGAAATAAAAGCTTTATTTTAAATAAATTACATTAGACATATTTAAAGCTCAAGTGAAGATATATGTTTTTATAGTGGCGTTCAGTAGCTTTTCGGTCATGGAGTGCAGACGCCTACGCACTTGCCAATATGTTGTGTAATTAACAAAGATACGCTAATAAAGCCTAAAATATTACATGTCTCCAGAAAGACATAGCTATAATCGTTATTGTGAGTGCATCAAAGGAAATATATCATGTTGGAGACCAATGATATAGCAATTTTAATATAAGTTTCGAGTCCCGCCCGGTCGAGAGAGATGGGGGCGACTCGATCTCGCCCCATCTATTGGAGATTCTGTCCACTAAAGACCCAAAGCTACTCAAACCTTCCTAGCATTACGTAAGCAATGAAGTAATATGGTATATTTACTCACTATGTGGATGCTGGATGCAGAAAATGAGAACATAATTTTGCTCTGAAAAAATATTTCATAACAAAATAAGATGTAAATATGTAATATCAAAGGATGTGGAGTCAGAAAATGAGAACATAATGGTCCATATGCAAAGGAATATCGTGGAGCGACTTATCAAAGATATAGTGCTCTCTGGAAAGTGTTTGCTGGCATATCAACCTTCTGTACACAGTGATCCAGTAGGGGGGTAGAAATAGCCTAAGCTACTCTATCCCTTTGAGATGTATTTATTGCTTATCTCAATAAACATACTTGAACTCGATCCAGTCGTCGAACTTCTCTGCTCAAATTATCGCAAATTTAAATTATGATGTTAACAAGTAGAATGCGTATTTTTAATCAAATCTAACGATATTAACAAGTAGAATGCGTATTTTTAATCAAATCTAACGATATTAACAAGTAGAATGCGTATTTTTAATCAAATCTAACATAACTAGCCAGAAAACGTTAAAGATTATTTAAAAATACATGGTTAGAAGTTAAATCAACTCCAAAGAACAACATTTTTGTTATAGATACTAATCGTTATTTGTTGGTATGCGTTCGCTACTTAAACTATCATGTACTGTATTTATGTAAAATCTCCGTTTCTTCGGACATGGAACACGGAACCTTACACGCTCTCTGATTTACTGTTTAATAGAGATTCACAAATAAGCTTATGATTGTATACGTTATCAAAAAGGCAGTGACAGTCAATTTTGCATTTTAAACACAGATTAGATCTTAGCGAGATAGGAAAGATATTCATATTTTAAAGGATTTTTGAATCATCGCTCTCCCTATCGATAGAAACTAACTTTTTTTTGTTATTATTAATATTTGACATGCCACCGGCATCCTGCCCCCGTCGAGGCCGCTAGAGAAAGAGAGAGATGGTGGCCCTCAGGTAAGTTCAGAACGGCGGAGGATTTCATCTTATGATTGGCGCAAAATACACTAAAATGAAATGCACTTAGTGTCCTTAACAGCACAGGTCATGAGGCTCCCACGGAAGTGGATTCCAGTTTTGTCATCCTCGTTCTCACTTGCCGTAATGATGATAATAGTCATTATCAGTTATTAATTATTGTATATTTTAATGCTTTTTTTTTAACAGGAACACACCATGCCTAGTTTTCTCTGTCGTGTTATAAATATTTCAATGTTAACAGTGCTTGTGCGGTGAAAATTAGTGGTTCAAAAAATTATGCTGGGTAAAATGGTAATCAAATTCAGGTGAGTTTATATTTTCATACGAAATTCTTTTATTGAAGTGTCATGAGGATAATATTAATAAAAATTGGGCCTAATTACACTGGACAAGCTCATAAATTTCAAATAGTTTTGAGGGAGCCCCATATGGCATATTAAGCTGTTGACATATCTCGCACATATTTGCAATTCCAAACGCGCAAATTAAAACGTGTTTGATCCGGCACGCTGATAACAGCAAAAGCTTCATGTGATTATAAATGCAATCTATTTATTTTTGTCCTACCGTTAACCCGCCAAATTGTTACCACAATGCAGCTGCTCCTATTTGACGGGGCGCACCACCCCAGATATTTAATTTATGTGTACGTCTGATACCATACTACTAGTGTAAAGGAGGAAATGTATATGTTTATCTCTCAGAATGTTTGGTAATGTTTATTGCTTGTGATGTGTGTCTATGTATGTATTAACACGATGTACTGAACGGGGTGAGAATAGCTTGAACTACCTCATCCCTTTGTGTGTATTTTACCTCAATAAACTTATTTCAATTTCAATTACCAGGAGGGCGGGGGTGGTAGCTCGGCTGTGCCTTTGCAGGTCTCTCCTAGAACTTCCCCACTCCACCCCTTCTCTCATCTCTCCCTATCCTCTATCTTCCTACCTCCCCATCTCTCCTAGCCTCTCTAATTTTCTCTTTTAAGATTCCCCTATCTCTCCTCACCACCCTCTCTACCAATTCCCCCCCCCCTCTCTCCATCTTTTTCTCCCAACATTTTCCCCTTTCCTTCTCTCGTCACCCTCCCAGCCTCTCCCTCTCTTCTTCCTTCTCTTCAAACATCCCTCCATCTTTCTGTCAGAAAATTAATACCAAATTCACGTTCGATTTCGAATGACGAAATCTAGGGACTCCACCATCCACCGATTGAATTGGTGTGAGGGGGGGGGGACTCTTTTTCAGCCCGACCCCTCCCTTTTTAACAGGACTGACTGCAACCAGCCTATGATCGACCTATACCCCTAGACCATTCATCCTGCAAAGTTAGGCGAGCCTATCATTCTGACCTACATCTACGTCTGAAGATGTATTATTAAATTCGAAAGTACTTAAGGAAATTCCTGTTTCAATTCTTCCTCCGTAGTCTGACAGAGTGTGTGTGTGTGTGTGTGTGTATATGTATATGTGTGTATATATATATATATATATATATATATATATATATATATGTATATATGTATATATGTATATATGTATATATGTATATATGTATATATGTATATATATATATATATATATATATATATATATATATATATATGCTAACAAGCCTGAATGGTCCCCAGGACTATATGCGAATGAAAACTCACACCCCAGAAGTGACTCGAACCCATACTCCCAGGAGCAACGCAACTGGTAACTACAGGGCGCCTTAATCCACTTGACCATCACGGCCGTCAAAAGGAAGTGATAGCCAAGGCTATTTGAGCCACTTCCCCGACGGCAACTCGGATGGTAATCTTGGGCATAGCATTTCACCAAATCACCTCATTCTTTGGGGCACACGTGAGGAACACAAATGCGAACAAGCCTGAATGGTCCCCAGGACTATATGCGAATGAGCCACAAGGCTGCTCGTTATCGCTATGTGTTAGGCAGACAATTGAAAGTTAAAAACATTATTATGGTCGACCGGGCAGCTCAATATTTGTGATTTCCACCGAGTATAAGCTAGCCTCGTGTATTTCAATCGTTCACAATTGCTTTGCCTTATTTAGAATAACGAACTCGCTCGTTTAATTTTTTTTTGTGAGTGAATGAGCATAATTGAGTACATTAGTGTAAGTGGAATGGATAGCAGTACGAATTTATGAGTGATTGAGTAAATATGAGTACGAGTGAAGATAATTATATCAGAAAATTAATATGAAATAAATAGTAATATAACTTCCCAGCCGCAGCAATTTATTATTTTTTTATTATTATTATTTCCTACCACAGACGTGGCCACACATTTACAATGCTAACTAGCATATATACATTTTCTTCTGTCCTCCATGGACAGGGTGAAAGATTTGTCAAACATACAGTTCAGATTTTTACTGAACAACCACAGAAGGTGATCGTAGTACTTTTAAAATGTTAGGCTAAGCTACATACGTAAATTCATAGGTACATAGATCCAGCCGCAGCAATGACCAGTGGAACCAAACCTGCTGTACGCAAGCCTACTCACGCCCTAAAATACACCGATATACAAATAATTTCGGGAACATTTAATTACAACCTAATTGCATCATCGAACCCCCATTATAGGAAGCGTCTGTCCTGGACGCAGTAAAGCTGCCGCTCTTCATGAAAGGTTTTCGGTAGAGATTTTTTTTTTTACTATCCTAGTTATAGTGTGTCTTTACCACTGTGTTAGTCAAGGTAACTAATCAGAACGTAGAGTTGATCTAGACTTTTTTTATTTGATTACATGTCAGTCGAATAGCATAAATAATTATATAAACAATATGTAATATAGTATTTGCTTTGTAAATTAATGTATTACT